ACCAGCAGGTCTCGACTCAGCCACGCCAGTCCTTTCCCTTCCTTGCCTGGCTTTTTACACCTGGGGTCTGAGAGCTCCTGCAAATGGAAAGCACCCTTAAAGATCTGCCAGCTCTGCTCCCCTGTCCCTAAGGACCATTTCCCAGGGGGTCCTATTAACTCCTTGAAGAGCTGGAAGTTGGCTTTCCTAAAATTTAGGGTCCTAACCATACTCCTCGCCTTTCACTTATCCTTCAGGACCGTGAACTCCACCAACGCATGATCACTGCAGCTCAGGCTGCCTCCAGGCTGCCTTTCAGAATGTTTTTTTTATTCCAGTTGTCCCTGGAAAGCAGAGGCCTTTCTATTCAGCACCATGCACATATGCTTGTGTTCCTGGGGGTGTGACCAACTCTACTTCCTCCATTAGGGCTGCAGGAAGCATCACCTGACTGTTCACTCGGAGGCCACAGAAAAGGCATGAACAGAACTCCCATTTTAGCCCCACTTCCAACACACGAGTTTAAAAGTTATTGCTCACTCTTTAATGTTAAGACTTCTTTGTAGTAGTTTCACACTAACACTGAAAAATTAAAAAAAGATAAAGGTCTCAGGTATGCCTTAATCAAGCAGAAAGAAATTTCTCTGAGAATACTAAGAGAGTAAATGTGAAAACCTTAAGCCAACGGCAGCCAAGTGCACATTAGCGTACTAACTGAACCAACCCAAAAGGACTACAGGGGCATGTGACTTCTTGGTTGTCGCCTTCCCAGAGCAGCAATGTAGGAGAAAGATTTGCTTACAGACCACGATCAGGTCCGTTTCATCCAATTATTGCTTGGTTCAGCACAACCAACACCACTACTTGCTCATTTACAGTATTAAACCCGCAACAAAGAAAATGTAATCACTGGATTAGCCAACACAATTCACAACTGTAGCACTTGGAAGAGTTCCCCTCTTTGGGAAACACACCGCTTCAGAAAAACCCCATGGTGAGCTCTCTTGCCTCTCTTCAGCCTTTCTATAAAGCACAGAGTGAAACGCAGCCCATCGGCCTGCGGGAGTGGAGTGACACAAATTACTACTAGGACTGTAGCACAAACGTACCTGAACCACCCTTCTGCCTCCAATAGCTGATTAAAAATATGAACCCTTTTCAGTTCTCAAGCTCAGATACTTCTAAAATTATCTAGCTCTCCAACAGCTTAAATAGGTTCAGTTAATTACGGATAGCAGAAGACACTTTGTAATACTTTACTGCCATACAGATAACCATAATAAACATTTCTAACACTCAGTACAGCAGCTCAATGGTACAGACGTCTGATTAAGCTCTAACCAGCTGTGTGCTCTGTTCACAAGCAAGAAGCAGCACTTCACAGTAGCACCTGCTCCAAAGAATCCATGCTGCAAAGCATCCCTCACGCATTTTAGGCTGTTGAGCCTTTACACTAAGGAACTTCACAGCCCAGGTACCAAAAGTCGGTGTACATCCTAGTCAGCCACACCTAAAGCACGAGGATACATCACTTCTCTGTATTCGCCAGACCCGCTACTTTCTGAATCGGCCTCCAGCACTTTACTCCCCGGGCAGAGTAGTATGCCATGGCTGCAGTCCACAACATCTTCCACATTTTTCCTCTTTAATTATACATTCTTATACTCTTCCACTACACCACTGTTCCACACAGCCACTTCTTTTCCCAGTGCAGAAGCGTGCTTATGAGGAATGAAGGGCAAAAAAAGAAGAATTTCCCAGAGGAGCAACAAATACACAGGATTTTGGCAACAGCAAGCTACAGAAACTAAAGGATGCCATGACAGAAACTATGCTATAAATTATGCATTTTGTAGCTTTAAAAAAAGGCGTTCTTTTTCTCTGCAGGCTAAGAAGATTAGCTAGAAAACGAATGCAAGTTCTGAAGCAGCACTATAAAGACTCGCTAGTCTTGTTTGGTATTTTTACTTCCAACACAAACATGCTCAGCACTACTACAAGGAGCTTGATGCAGACATGTGATATCCCAACTTTGCTTATGGGCTGGAAGACCACTGGCAGGTCTGAAGAGCTCTAGTAAACACACTGCCATCACTTGTTTCAGTCTTATCCTGCCTGGCAGAAAACAAACCATGCCGTCAGCATAATTATCTCAATGTTTGTGAACATGCACATTTTCATTAGTAACCTGACCATAATCCAACATTCAACCTACTTTGTTTTTTTCTAAATTGCACAAAGGCAAACTTTTTACTTTTGTATTGAATGAGAGGTGCTCAGAATTTAAAAATATCTAATTAACATTTGCTGTAGATTTTTCTGCCAGTGCTGAGCAGGGAACCATAACAAACCAGGAGATTTTTCAATTATAGTAATTGAGAATCAAAAAAACCCCAGACTAAAATTAACGCTCGGCTCTCCTGTTAACACACTGTACATCTGTTCCCTGGAGCAGTGTTTAGGTGAACACTTTAAACACAAAAAGTTAAGAAATTAAAATATTGTGTATTTTCCCTGTGCCTGGCATTGCCATAGTGGTTAAACTGCTGTTACTAAAGGTAACTAAAAAACTAGACAGCTTGAGAACATGCAGGTGTTTCCCCCCTTTATACAGTAGGACATGTTTCTCAGGTATGCGATGGCATAATTTATTCAAGTTAAAACAAGGATGTAGTCAACCTTAAATGACCACCTTTGTGGTGCATAACTATACACAAGCTAGTAAGGGTGGCCTGTATTACAGTGTGAAATTCTTTGGTGAGGTTAAGGGGAACTTAAAAAAGCCACAACCAAAACCAGACAACTGCAAACATCGTTAGTACATGTAGGTGGTTTAGATAGAAGTGTATCAATAAAGACAGATGGCATCCTAAACACTTCATAAAAAAAAATCTTGAGCAGATAATCCCTGACCAATATTACTATAAAAGGAGAGCACAACAGTCAAAAAAAGAAGGTGCAAAATTCAGCGCTGTTTCAGAAATGCTACAGCCCTCTGCAGGCATGAACTTTTTAAAGATATAGTGCATGTCCCACGTATTCGTAGACTACAAACAAAGGTATATTAGGAAACTCGTGAAGCCATCTTCTGGAATGGAAACAACTCCTCTGCTTTCAGAAACATAACCTTTCTACTCCATTAGAAGTGTTAATGCACCATTCTCCAAGTTCAGTCTGGGAATTTGAGCTATTACATTCCAGACCACCACACCTCCTTCATACATGTATATAAACAATGCTGTTACTACAACTACTACATACATAGGATGCTGAATTTAGGCTTGGCACATCTGAACGCAAAATCCAAAGGTCTTCCCGGACACATTTCTCTAGTATCCTCCCTCCCCTACACATTCTTTAGCCTCTCTGAGAGAAGAGCTCTGAACTACTAACACCAAAAGTAAGAAAATAAAAAGCAGAAAGACTGGAAAAAAAGTTATAAAAGCAAGCAAAATTATCAAAACCATTCTAACTGAAAGAGAAGGAGGCTTCCTTCTTCCTGCAGTTCAAGTACCTAAACGCAAATATTGCAACTCAAATGAGTCTAGTTTCCTTACTTATCAAACTATTGGGACACAGTGTCAGGAATAATTCCTGAGAACCAGACGTGTGCCCCAATCATTTTCCATTTTTGGAGTCAATCTTGTTCTTTTGACAGCTAAACTCTGAAAACAACGTCTGAAGTCATTTTTATTGTAATTGCACCTCCCCTCCCTTGCAAGGTTCTGCAATTTCAGTAAAATACAATAATGAAATACCAACATTTCTCAGGCTTGAAGAGGCCAAGCTGTCTGCAGCTTTCTATTTATCTACAGTAAGAAATTGCAATCATTTGTAGGTCCTCTGAAAAGCTGTTTGCTTAGTAACCATTGAAATTATTATTTTTTAAAGACAGCTAACTGAACAGCCTAGGAGACTACCAGTAGAACTGGCGGAGTATGCTAAAGGAGGCCACTTGTCACCGTTATCTGTCCTTTCCTCATCCTCCACTGCATGCTCTCAAAAGGGATTGAACACCTAAGTCCAATATCAGAACTATAAGCACCAGTTTGAAGGCCCCAGAGAAACAAAAAGAAAAAAATTCTTCCTTTCTGTTCACCTGTTTCATTCTTTGTCTTGCAGGTATCATTTTTTGTGAGAATAATCATTAAGTGCAGGTCTCAGTAACAATTAACAGGAGAGAACAGACAAGAGTGGCGTCTCAGTCAGAAGGGAGACTCAGGTCTGACTCGTCTGCACTTCCAAGCAGCTTCTGCTGGCCAGTTGCAAATACTTATTTTTTTTTTTCAGGAATATCATGAAGGCAATAAACACATCAAGGCTGTTTGGTTGCAAACACTGGACTGCAAAAGAATAGCCAGAGAAATTATTATTCCCACTCTCCGGGACTCATGACACTGCATTCGGAATTACTGGGTTCCATTTTGAACTCCCTAGTATCAGATATATTGACAAACTGCAGTGAGCCCAGCAGACAGCCACCGAGACAGTAACGAGACCAGAGCTGACGCAGTGCAAGAGTTGAGGGACCTGGATTTGTTCAGGCTGGAGAAGAGAAGGCTGAAGGTGGGGATCCCATTGCTGTTTGTAAACTACCTAATGGGAAGGTACAATGGAGATGGAGTCAAGCTCTTCTCAGAGGTGCACAGTGACAAAGCAAGAGGCAAGAGACAAGCTGCAAAAATGGGAATTCTGACCTGATACAGGAAAAAGATTCACAACAGAGGTGACTAAACATTGGAACAGAGACCCAGAGAGGCAGTGGAATCCCCACCCTAAGAGACTTTGAAATGCCAACTGTCCTAGGCCTTGAGCAATCAAATCCAGCTTGTAACACGACCCCAACTTTAAGTAGCAGTTCAGATGACCTCCAGGGAACCAAGATTTTTCGACAAACCCATGATGTTGTAGTAACAGACAGAAGATCCTGCCTTAGTCTCAATGCTAAGTTCCCTCTGAAGTCTTATTATCTGGAAAGCAAATCTAAAATTACAGCTATTAGCTTAATAACAAATACTCACCACCATATTGTAGGCATCAGGAACTTCAATTTCAAACTGAAACTTTCCACCTTGGTAATAGCCCTCATCTAGCAAAGAGAAAACAACAAAAGTAGTTAACTACAATAAAATAACATGCCATATAATAGACAATATCTGTCATTACAAAGATTAAAATAACAGCATGGGGTTATAATCAAATACTTAAACCTAGTTACACTGTAACACTAGCTGTGACCTAGTCTAAAGAGAGTGTGAACATAGTGTCCTCCCTCACTTCCAAAATGTTTACAGCAGAAATTAATTTAAATCAGAAGAGTCACCAGTCCCAGAGTGACCCTGGAAAAACCACCTTCCTGATCAGACTATCAGTCCATACCAAGCTAGAGGAACAGCTGATCGAACTTCTCGCCTCTGTATAAACAAAACTGTGCCACACAGTGACCACATGGCATGCGGTACCACAACATTGACCCTTGGAACGAGCTGGATACGTACTTCACTTGCTAATGCATGCTAAATCCTGCTCCAGGATTTAGCACATCTTCCCAGACTTGTGGTAGCAATCACATATCATGAGCAATCACAAATCATTCCCTAGACTTGTGCTAGCAATCACATATCACAATAATGGTGTGCAAGGGCCTGCTTCAGAGCATACCACAATAAACTTGCTCTTCTATTGTAATTATCTTAGGATGATGTATCAGTTAGAAAAATCTGCCTGCCTCTGTCAACCTCAGAGTCAATACTGAATTATTAAAACAGCTAAATTTTAAAATAAAAGTATCTGAAAATCTCTAGTTCCATTTAACCAGAAATAATAGGATGATAGTCAGCCTACTCTTGAGATGGCTGTGCCTGGAAGCTGAAATGCTTGCAAGTGACCTGAAATGTGTCTGTCTGGCATTGCCATTAATAATTTTGTTCATTAAGGAAAGGAAACAGACAGGTACCCAGCCCAAACCAGGGGTGTGGGACTATTGAGGAATGCTCAGGCTCAAACTACCTTGAGTACTCCAGCTCTCTGTATCATACAGCACAGTCACAGTGAACGCTTCAGGGTCAGAAAGGCTGGTTATCATTGTCTCACAGTATTTTTTTATATATTATTTTAAAAACCAACATTGCAAAGTCAAGTCCTGTGAAGCAATCCATAATTTACAGAATGATTTAAGACTGTTTTCTTATTATCTAGCTTGTTCCAAAACACAAAAAAGTTCTATCTACTCTACTATGTGTCATCAAAATTCTCTTTCAGAATGGTGTCTTCTGGACCTGCTGCCTTCCCAGTCCTTACATAGATCTAGCACAACTTTATTTTCTCCTACCAACCAATGCACCACATCCACTAACTCAGGTTTCACTCCATGCTACACTCACCGCTGTCAGCACAAGCCTGTAGCTTCCACACTGTAACTGCCATGACTGCAAGAGAGCAGTCAGCTCCTACCCTTCCTCCTCTTTGCAATCTCTTATCAGCTGACTTACTGAAAAGGAGAGGGCATCACCCTGTTAAATAATACAAACCCACAGCTGTAGAGAGAAGCGAGCCAGTAAAAGCTGATGCTGCCAAAGATGAAACTCAGCCGCACGCTACATCAGCACGCCACTCCAAAGGACCTGTGCCTGCAGAACAGCAAGAGCTGCTGGGAAGTACATCAGTCTGGCTTCTCCCAGGAGCCTGTGCAGACCACTGACAGGTTCAGCATATGAACAGCATTGGAAGTTTAGGACTGCAACAGCACCACGGGAGCAGAGTATGAAAACAGAACATGACTGGTCTTCCTCACCCCACACAGTAACACTTACAGCTGCCTCCACACTGAACTGTGCAGCACACAGCTGCAAGCCTTAGCCACTGCAAATCTCAGTTTAATAACCTGTCCAGAACATATGCTTTTCAAATACATTCTCCATCTCCACTCCAATTCAATTCTGAAGTGCGTTTGGTTTATTAAGTAGTCTTCTGAGGCACACTGTGCTTTACCAGAAAGTAAACGTACATGCACTGACTTTTATGGAAAAAAGATAAAAGCATTTATCTCATTTTCAAATATAATCCTGAAATAAAAATCTGTAAGACAGGCCAATTCCAAGGAATGAGATCAAAAGGTGAGTTATATCAATATCCTTTTGATGAAACTGCTCCCTGTCAAATGTGCTAAACACTCCAAGCAAGACACTGGCTGTTCCAGAAAGAAATCATTAGGGAAATGGTCCAGTATCCCCCTGAGAGTTCAAACAGCTCAAACACCACCGAGTTACCCCACACGACACAGCTAACTGCACTTTAGCCACCATCTAGCACATTGTAATAGCTTTTTAACCAAGTGTCAGGAATCCTCACTATTTCCAAGTATGATGCCATCCATTGCAAAAACCACAGTCGAAAAATCTCAGGTCTTTTAGTGATCATACTATAATAAATAAGCAACACCATACAGGAATTTGGTGTTTGCTATAGTGCAAGCCACATACCTCACAGCCTTCCACGGGCCTCCCCACTGCCCTCTGGCTCACAAGCACTTATCAAGCTATCACTTCCCAATACAAGCAATCACATGAAATGCCCACATATGTTTGTGCAGGGAGAAGCCTGCTGCCAGTACAGCAAGGTAAAGGAGAAACACCACCACTGTTAAGGTTGATCAGCAAGTCCAGCAGCAGAAAGTTACTTTTCCTGGCTTAATTTCAATAGTTCCTTGATTTTGTGGACTTGGAGTGAAGCACGCAGCAGCTCTTTGTATTCCACTCCTGCTAATGTGAAATAGATGCCTGTTGATGGATGTACGTACATGTGCCTTCTGTCAAAGAAAATCCTCAGATTTAATGAATCCTCACTGTAATACAATTGTCCAAAAAGAAACATTCAAGAACAGCTCCAAGGGAGGAGAGCTTGCCAGAAGACTGTCAGATTCCTGCCAGTCAAGCAGCAAGAGAAAAGCCACACTCCATGGCTCTCCACATGCTGAAAAACACCAGGCCCACAGCCTCTGCAGCATGCAGGAACACTTGGGTAGGTCCTTGACTCCAAGCACAGGCAGCAAGATCACTCTGACCTTGCTCAAGAGATGGGGAAAAAAGCTGGACAATTGTTCTTCATTTTCTCTGCTCTTCCCCATGACACACACCAAGCTCATGATAGCTCCTCTTCCAGCCATGGAAGAAACTCCCAGGGTCCATGTGTGGGTTGAAATCAGGCAAGGTGAGTCCAGCTGGAGGGGACAAGCCCAGCTGAGCCTCTCTCACTGCATAAAACCATCACTGCAAGAGTGCAGAGTTCCCTGCAGGATTACTAAGATGAACTGGCACGCAGAGGGGTCAAATTATCACCAGTGTCAGCAGAAGAGAAGCAGTAGCACCAAACAGCAAAAAAGCATCCCTCTTCCTTGGCAAAAACACTTTATAATCACATATTAACACCTCCACAGACTGTGAGAGATTCCTCATGTATTAATTCAGTTTTCTCTTTATTTGTAGAGCATAGAAAAACATAAGGCTGAGAAATTTCTGGAAGACTTGGAGCACTTTACACATTGTGCCTCACACTGGGGGTCATTTCCACATATTTGTATGATCAAGCCTCCCTCAAAAACAATTCAATGCTCATCACTGCCTTGCATTACAACTCATTTTGTTTCAGGTTTACCCTGGCATTAATCCATGCTAGCACTAACCCAAAAATACACTGTGTACCCTACTGGTTCTGTTATAAAATAAGCAAGGACTTATTTACCAAATCAGAAGACTAATGCCTCTCTCCTCCCCTCTTTCACAATCCTCCCTGTATGTTTGCAAATCTTTTCACTAACACAGTAATAAAGCACGCTACTCATTACCAATCTCTCCAATGTATATTAAAAATTCATGTTTCTGGAGGGCCCCAGTACCCAGCCAGAAATCTTGCGATGCATTAACAAGATAAGCCTCACGACGAAGTCGTCATATGGCATCTCAAGCAAGCAAATAGGTTCCCCCACACGGCTACTTCCTTCCCTGCGTGCCACAACACCCATGCAGACTGGGTCAAAGACCCTTAATTTTTTAGGCATCTAACAGTGGTGGGAAAAACTAAAGTTCTGGCAAAGTTAATAGTGAGAAAATTGCTATAAATAAAACAGTCAAATAAAACAGCTTTGGCACATAACTTAGGAAGTTGGCCACTGACAAGACTTTTGCAAACAAGTAGTATGTCTGAACTCCAGTTTTCCTCCAACTGCTTAAATTTATGTCTTCAAGAGCTGTTAACAGAACAAGCATCCCTTCCATTTCAGTCTTGAGTTTCATTATCAACAACCTGACTTTAATCTTAGTTTGCATTTGTAAGGTGTTTTCATGGCTAAAAGTGCTGTGAAAATACTAAACTAAATTACTGTATCGCTTTGAAAGAAAATGCAAGATAATTAGGACAGGCCACAACGGATGTGCTTTTCATAGTAGCTCCTTGAATCAGCAGTGTTTAAATGCTCAGTCATGCTCACCAACATCTGTCATTTCATGGCATGCAAAACAGACAACAGGCTTTTTACTAATTCCCTGAAGAACAGGACTCTCAAATAATCACACTAACCCCAAACTACCCCAGCTGTCTGGGAACTGCAAGAAAATCGCATTAACTCTACAAATTCCTCTAGTTTTCTTCATGTGCAAGCTATCCAAAACTCACCTTTTTTTTTTCCAGGTCATTACCACATTTTAGCCTCAGCTTCCAATGTTGTGCTCCAAATACCAGTGCAGCAGGCAGGACCCTGCCCAGGTTATAAGCATCTATCTCATTTTTTCTAGCTTTTGATCCAATAAGTTACTGGCACAAAAGTAAGAACAGAGCATTTTTCAACAACAGTACGATTGTTTCAGACAACAAAAGGAAAAACAACCTTCAGACACCAGAGAAAGCCAGCAGTATCTGCCTCAGGAACACACAGTTTGTCCATCGTGGCAGTAAAGTAAAACCCTGATCTATTTTCTAGCGTGTGCTACCACGTATCCACTTCTGGTGCACTGCAGAAAGCTGTAACACAGGAACCGGAATTTCTTGAGGACAAGCAACTTTATGCGAAATAAACAATCACCCTCCTCAAGATTTTCTACAAATTAATTTTAATTTAAAACTCACTGTCACCAGGATGATTTTGTGACATTAAATACTTACTAAGAAAGGTTATTACGAGAAGCACAGAGCAACGGAGCTGAAAGTATTTCTGTTTGGTGGTAAAGTTTACTTTCTTATTCAAATTAGTCTTCCTGTGAGAACCTAAAGAAGCTTCTTTCACTGCCTGTTCAAGACCAGCCACATTTAAAATGACTTCATAAAACAAAGCACCCGAGAACAAGCTTTACCAATAACGTAAGGCTAGAATGTTGACTGCAAAAGGCGTTTCTGCATTAGAAAACATACTCAGTCAGTACCTTCACGGTACCCAGACAGCTGGTTGCTTGCAGAAACTGTCTTGGTGTAAGTTTCCTTATAAAATGTGGTTACAGAATTCAGGCTGTCATGTTAATTAGAATATAAGAGAACTTAAACATAAAATATGAATTTAAAATAATTAGCACACCTGTAACAGATCTGTCAGAAGGATGCAATCTCTGTAACTACAGATAAGCAAACTGAGAACCCTGAGAAGGGAGCCAGCAAGAACCTCTTCGCTGTGCAGACCACCAACCCTAGCTTAGGCACGCCTACTATACAGGTCCTAACTGTGAGAACGACAAAGTGGCATTAGACATTCCCTGGCACACGCAGCTGCACTGAGCCCAGCTCTTGTTCCACAATTGGAAAGCTGCAGATACACTTGCAAAGCACTCCCTTAAGAACCAGCTGCATGAGCAGCATTTCTAGACGTAGAAATCTCAGCTCCTCAATGCAAGAGACAGCTCTAGGCGGGAGGAAGAAAACTGACTCTTACTCCGACTGTCAAGATTCATACATGATTGTTTAGACACTGCTAAAATAGTTGCTTCAAGCAAAGATCTTGGTCTACATGAGCCAGCCACTTAGTTGCCTCTCCGTTATTCCAAAGAAAACTAAGATTCAGCATACTCCTAAGAAAAAACTCCATCGTGAAGGGAATCATAAAGCTGCGAAGACTGTCTTGGTATGTGTTACGTTCTGCCTTTAGAGAGCTGTGCTAAGCTGTAGCTGATCACAAGATTCTGTACCTGAAATATACACAGCTGAAAATAGATGTTTACTTCGGTCAGACTACTGCTACAGAGACTTCAGCTGTGCAGCTATATTTAGAGTAACAAAATGTTAATTAAGATCATCTCATTCCCAAGCTCATTTCAGCAACGAAGCTAGCACAAAAACCATGCTCTGCATTCATCCACTGTCTTCTGTCTGCAACATCGTGCCACACCGCAGCTAACAGACAAAAAACCGACTAAGTATCTAGACACCTTACTATGAAGAAGCTGTCACTGCTTCATATTCAAGATACCCCTAACTCGCACGGTAATGATCTTGTAAAGTCAGCCCATTTCCAAAATATCATAAAGCACCATCATATAAACTGAAAGACATTTGGTTCAAGAAGACTAGCACGCATCAAGTAACCACGAATACATCTCCTACACAGAATGAGAGATTAAAAGTCCTATAACAGCACTTGCATTTACTTTTGATTACACTGACCAGGGCAGAGTTACTCATTTTTCCATCGCAAAAAGGAGTCACACAAATGGACATGTTAACAAAGACCACCCAAGAGTCCTGCTGCCGAGGAAGTGCGGGTTGATTTTGGCTAAGGAGCACCAACAGTGACATCTAGTGCCCGTCTGACTTCACGATACCGAATTATCAGAAAAACCCCTGTCACCCTGCTAAGCGTAAATCGTTATTTCTATAGGTGAGACATCATGATGACTGCCACAGTGCATCCAAATTCTGTAGTCAATAAGCATCTACAGAACATGTGCATCTACAAGAATTCGTTGGCAGGGAGATACTAATCCCAGCACATCTAACTGCAACAATTCAGTGTATTGAACACATCAATTACAGCAAAAATAAGTAGTGCATGTGAAGTTTAAATAATCTTACATGCAAATTCATCCATAAAACACAAACACAACTTTCTATTCCAAAATGGACAGCCATGTGAGCAAACTCGGTAATTTCAGATGGCTCTGAAGAAACTTATGTGGAAATTATAAATTAAAAAAATGTACTCCTGAGGTTTTGTTTTTATTGAACAGCATGCCACCAGAAGCTTCACAGTATATTTAAACTGTATTCATAATAAAAGATCTAATTCACACATACTTGAATATTCAAAGACTATGAGGCTCCTACTTGGTATGCATCTTCAGACATGCATAGATTTGAAGTTTTCCAGCAGCGTTATATCTGTTATTTACCTTTTCAACTCTGCAGAATCAAGCCATCGTAGAAAAGCACATATCTGCAACATAACAGGGCTGTAATACAATAATTTCTCTAGACGTAATCCAAGATTTTTCTCAGCAAATAAAACAAGGTGGTTTGAAATTGGCCGAGAGAAAAAAATGTTTTCAAAGTGACTAAACAAGACCCAAATATTTCCCAAACCTGCTCAATTTTTATGGCATGTTTATTGGAATCTAATTCTCAAAATCCAGCCCAGTTCCTCTACTGCCTCTATAAAACAATCACTGTATTACAGCCAGTAATAATTACAGCTAGAAAATTTACTAGATTCTTGAGCAAACTTTTGGAATCATGTTTCCTAAACACCAATGCACACAGAAACAAAAGCAACATGTTTTAAAAAATTACCTGGGATTACAGTTAGCTGAAAGTAATGAAGCTTGTTTGGGTCAGGAAAATTCACTTTACATGTACCTGTGAAGCACAAGAATAATTTACATCAGGTAATTGTTTTTCTGCTGTTGGGAAAGCAAGTATACCATCTTTCACACTCTCCAAATTCACTCCCTGACTAATCCCCACCTTCCAGTCAAGTGATTTCCTCCTACACTTTGTCTCTAAGCACCTCTTCCCTATACAGTCACAGGTCACCTGCTGTAACGCAACTTCACTTCTTTGAGCTACGAGGAAGAAGCTTATTTCCTTTTGGTAAACCATGTTGTCTCAAAGACCTTAAAATGCCAAAGGATTTGGTCTTCTGTATATATACTAGCTACATGTTAAGATGACAGCATACATAATGAGCATCTCTCCCTCAGAAGCTCCTTAATAGTAACATGTGTATCTTAACATTTGATCATACATTGCAGTCTGCAAGAAGTCATGCCACCACAGCCCTATGCTAACAAAGGATTATTTGTGCCTGTAAGATATAATGAGATATAAGCTTTACTGAAAGCCTCATCCAAAAGCCAGTGAAGTCTCTGTCCAGTTGTCATATTGAACAAGTTTCTTCTGTGTAGCCAATTACGCACATTGACAGCAAAAGTTATGGAGCATCATTACAAACCAAACACTATGTTTTCACTCTCAGACTAGATAAATTTAAGGAGAACAGTGAGAACAAAGAACAAGTGTGGAAAAAAAACCCAACAACATCAGTCTGACGAAACTAGTCAGTGGTTTCAGTACAACAGATGCAAGTTTCACAGCATAATAGCCCTTTGTTCGCGCTTGATGACATAAACTAAGTTGCCTTCCCATATACAAAACTGGCCATTCTTGACTGTGGCAGAGACAAGCTGTCATGCTGGCACTAGAAGACACATATATCCATGGATACATTATTGTCCATATTATGTAGCCTTTAGCTTCTTACTCCACCAAGCTGGCTGTTATTTTTCTGTAGTCAAGGAGTTAAACAGTATCAGAGATACAGAACCTATTTGCCTGAAAAAATAACTAGAAATGTACACAAATCCCAGTAATGCATTCGCACTGTAGTAACTACAAACCCTGATACACATTTCTCAGATGTCCATTACCCTACAGAAGACTCTACACAACAGAAGATAAAATTACTCTGTGTAAAATCTCTATAATTGCCTTTAAGCAGTGCATACATCAGAGTTAAATAATGTCTCCTCCTGCCCTCCCTTTTTGCTGCTTCTGTTGTGTATTTTTCCCCCTTTTAATTCCTTTCACCCGGCAGTCTGGACATCGAAAAGTCTGATTTCTGAGATCCAAGCACTGATCCAGATTTAGAATCATTAGCAAACAGAAGATGCTCATGACAAGCAGCACTCAGAACTTTAACCCCCCCTTAGGTGGGAAAAGACTAGAAACACCACAAGCTACTTGCCAGCCTAATCGGAGAGAATATTCACTGCTTTTCTTTGTAAGATAAGCAATGGGCAAGACAGTGTGAATGCACAGCCCAGATAACCTTTTTTTTGCGCCACAGGAAGCTACGTAGAGCAAGCGACGGTCTCTGAATGCACCTCTGAGCTTACTGGGCAATAACTTGTGCCTTCCTGCATTCCAAGAATTCACGGCAGAATGATGCTGTTCTGGTCAACGCTTGAAAGGAAAGGGAGCTCAACAACAACTTGGCTTCACTGTCAACACCCACTCATAGCAACAAATACAGAGTAGTAGGAACTTTACTCCCCTTTAAGGGGCTTTGTGTTTTGCTGTCCATTACAGAACTAGGCTTTCTAAGGCTAAGCAGCAGAAAACACATAGTTGATTTTTAACTATCTATCCTCAGCTTTAGAAGCAATATGCCTTTTATTCTGCCTATTTTAAAGTGGCCATTAATATTTTCATCTTATAGCATGACATACAAGTCAGATTCCAGGCCTAAAACCACATTATCTTGCCTTTTTTTAAGGAATATGGATTACTTTAAAAAAAAAAAATCATGAGTATTTTACTACTAACAAGCACATGTCGTTACAGCTTGCATGTGAAACGAAAAAGCACTAAGTTGGCTTAGCATGTTTCCAGAGAACTGAGCTATTTGCTCTGCCCCTAAATGAGCATCTCTTGTTTTCAAAGTGAAAGAAGGGAGGGGGGTGGGAATCGTGAGGCAATAAATGTACCCTTCAGTTCCCGGTAACGTCTGGGTGTTTTATGAGAGGGAAGTTCCTGCTCCACCACCAGTCAAACTCTGGAGCCAAATGATCAATACTGCTTCCAAAGGATACCAGTAAGGATCCACCTCTCCACAGCCCCTTAAGAGGGAGCAACAAAACAAATCTGTTCAAGACTGGGTGGCAGAGTTTTACACAGCTTTCCCTAGAGTTAACAAATACCATTAGCATTCATACTTCAGCCAAAAAATTCAGTTCAATGGTTCCTTTTCCCCTTAAAATGCATGCCATTAAATGCTATACTTACAAGGTAAATTAACTTCAAGTTCTGCAACCTCTGTTGAAAGAAAAAAAAACACGTTATTTATGCAAGCATAAAGCCATTCTTGAAGTCCAAATTGAGAGATTTAAACTGCCCTGTAAATCAAATTTCACTTGAAAATATAATTTAGCTGCACTGGAGGTTTACCTTGAAATTTCTCTTTAAGCCACATAATTCATGACTAAGAAAGCTCATCTGCCCTACAGACAATGAATACATCCCCCATCCAGACAACACAGACGTCCGCTACTGAGATTAGGAGGTTCAGCTTTGCCAAGACTGAAGTGGCAGGGCTTCTAATACACAGAGCACTGGCATTTCAAAAGGTGGCATTGTCTAAACCTCCAAAGTTGCCTACATAAAGCACTAAAACACAGAAAGCTGTAAGTCCACAGTCTGCAAAACACAAGAGCAGAAAACCCTCAAGAATCAGCGTGTCAGTCCAATTATAAAAACAAGCACAGGAGGTTCACAGCCTGCACAAGCATCACCAGTCCCCAGCATCTAACTGCTAATGCTCTTCCACCATCAGCTACCAGCCCCCTCAGGTTACACACTGCTTTGGTGGGGAAACCTCCAAAAACGATACTGCGTACTGCACATTTGGAAACGGCTACTGAAACCCTAATTCAAGGGCACTGTCATACTAGATGTTGTCTGGCCTGCAGAACCCAGCATTAAGAGCACCAAAAGAACAGAGAAAGACAAACCTTCACTTCCAGAACCCGTCACAACAACGTGCACGGGAAGTGATAAAAACAACTGCATTTGTTGCAATACTCATCCCCTCAAAACCTCTGCACTGTTGAACAAACTCAGTTTTTTGCTCCTGCCCCTGTTGGATATTTCCTCTCAGAGCATGGTTTTCTGCAGATACACACTCTTGTTCAATTAAGACTTCTTTTTATTTATTTCCCACCCATCAAACTTGAAAGCTATTCATAAAAGAAATGAAGTAACCTGATTCAGTTGCATAGATCCTAGGCAGGGAAGTTCACTCCTAAGCCCTTTCTCTGCCACACTACTTTCTCTAGAAGACCCCCTGCCTTCCCCCTCTTTTGTGTATTTTATTGAAGTCCTACTTTCAACTACTTGTATTTCACAGGAGTATGAATGAGATGTATCAAGACACCTCCCCCTTTTATTTCTAAAGTTCTAGGAAACCAAATCAAATACATTTTTGCTTTTCCTGTAGTCTTTTCTCCCCTCACTTGATTTCCAACTTCGCTTTCTGGTCTGCATAGACACAGTCCATTTCTTTGGGCTAACAACAACGTATAAGAGCTTTCAACACCAACTCTCAAAAACACGCGTCTAAAGCAAACTGTAATGCCATTTAAGATATAGGGAGCAACTTCTTGGCACAGAATCCAAACTTGTCACAATTAAGAGCTCACTAATTCCACAGAATTTATCTTGCATCCATGCTTACCAAACCTGGCTCATCTGTGCAGTGAGCATGATGCTTATTTGACTCCCGCCTCCCACACACTTGGCACAGCCCTGACATCCCTACATCTGCAGCTTACTCTACAAAGACAGAAAACCCCACCAAAACAGATGCACTGTGTTTCACACTTACCTAAAAGAGCTCACAATTGCACTCTTTACAATCCCACACTGCAGCACCTGAGCAACCACAGCTCATTTAATCAAAGCTGTGCACTAAAAGAAACACTACACTGGGGGCACACTTTTGCTAACAGTTTTCAAAGAGCACTGTCTTTATAACATGCCAAAAATGTAATTTCAGCTATAATCAATGACTTGATTTTTACTTTCCCTTCCTGGTTAAAAAAAAAAAAAGACAAAACATAACCAACTACTGAAGGCTGCAGCTATACAAACCCATCATAAGATTATTCCCCCATCCCTTCCTCTTCAAACTCACCAGCCTTTCATAGTGGGAGGCACTATCAATCTTCACTAGATAGTGAAGTTCAGGACCTGGCTCTTTTTTTAAACTGTTGACTGCTTTCCTTATTGCTCTCCATGCCCTTGTGTTGTTCAGCTTAATGAATCCTGCCTGCCTTGTGCTTCATTTTTGAGCAGAGGGCAGGTAGGGAAACAGGAGAAACCAGAATAGAGCCTGTTCAAACCCAGCAATGGCCAGGCTGCAGCAGCTCTGCTGAGCTGGGGCCTCACTTCTGCCTCTTGCAAGGTTCAGTAGAGAGTTTACTGATCTCCATAGCTCCTTTGAAGCGTGAAAAATTTCCTGTAGTGAATTCATACTTCTGCATTTCCCTTTGTCTTGGCACAAGAATGAGTGGGTTTTTCTTGTGAAAACATGAAAACAAAGGTGCTCACACCCATGAGGATGGAACAGAATGCTCTTTCTTTGAAGGTGTGCAAACACGTGGGAAGACTGCACCAGCCAACCCACACGAAAGCTCTGTGAACAAGGGCAAGTTCCCCAAAATTAAAGTTTCTAATCAACTCTGCAACAAACCACTGAAAATACAAACAAAACATATTTATAAGGATAAAATAAGCAAGTAAAGACCTGCTTCAATAATCCAAACTTTTTAAGCAACATCAAGTAAGGAAACATGTTACCATTAACTGTGACATATAAACATTGGTGATTAACAGTAAGTAGCACATTTAATGGGCCATAGCTACAGTGGGTGTGAGTTTTCCAAATCCTATGACTCTTTGGCAGTGACAGTCTTGACACTGAAATAATTTTTGCACCTTGCTGTGCAGAAAGCAAATATTTTTATCACACCATTCAAGCTCCATTAAGATTCTGATGTTTTAAGTTATGCATTTTCTACATAAAGCAATACCACTGACAGGAATAATCTCTGTAAGAAAATGCCCCTTGTACAGTCTGTCAATTTATTGGCATGGTTTAACAGATTTGTAAATAAGCAAAATGTAGAAGCAACAATTAGAGCTCCAATGCACTGAACTTCCAAGGGCTCCAAATCCTCACTAAATTAAACAACGAACTTAACCTCACAATCTTTCTCACCTCCTCTTTCAAAAAATTACTGTAACTACAGCTAAACAGTAAAGAAAATCCAATTCGACTGCTTTTCATAACGTTTGGTGGATAATCAGTATCTGTGTGTCAACTCACTGCCAGACACCTCACCGTTCCTTAAGATGCCAAGACAAACAACTGGATAAGCCAAGACTCACGAAATACTGTGCGAAAGCTCCCCAGAACTTCCACGAGAACCCACTGTTCACCAATGCCAGCTCACTGCTGGCTTAGCAGAGCTGCAGAAACACTGCAGAGCATCTCAGTTTCTCCCACAGTCAGGGCTGATTGCCAAGAAGCAGCAAACCCAGGGGCACTGCAAGGCCCTGCACCCACTCTCATAAACCATCCCGGGCAGGTCCGATAGGCCATAAGTGCAGACACATGCCAGAACTTCTGCAGCGAACAGACTCGGGTGCAGCCAGCCCAGACGCAGACAAGCTCCCAACCAGCCAGTCCGGTGTTCCTGAAACCTCAGGTGATCTGGTGCAGAAGCACATCCAAGTAGCAGGTCTATCTGCAAAGTCCTTGACCCAGTATACACCTGCTTGAACAGTTCCAAACGCTATTTTGAACCATAAAACATAAAAAAAGTAAAAAGGCAAGGGTTAAACTTGAACCTACCACAGACTTTGGAAGAGTTGAATGCAAACTGATTATGTTTCAGAAACAGCTTAGGAACTTGCAAAACAGGGGCAAGCAAAGCCTAACACAGGCAACCAGAGCTATTTATAAATGATTTCACAAACAATAACTCTCCCTAGCCATGACAATTCTCAAGACAGAAATAGGAACACACACTCCTGACATGTGTGCAGGCATATGGTTTATGAGACCCACGTGAATGTTCTATTCAGTAATGCACAGATTATAATCACATTCTGCTCCCTCCCCTTCCCCCACTCCACCTCAACAGGTCAGAATGTAGAAGTGTTTTGTTTACTAGCCTTGCCACAAAGAGTCAGGCCATATGCTTCCCACTGGAATTTGTTTTTAAGTACCCAAAATGAAAGCATTATTTCCTCAACCAAAATTAACGTTCCCATCCACAGCAATGCTTTCAATCTTCTCTTGATGCTGCCCAGGACACGGTTGGCCCTCTGGGCTGCCAGCGCACATTGCCAGCTCATGTCCAGCCTTTCGTCTGTCAGTACCCCCAAGTCCCTCTCAGCAGGGCTGCTCTCCATCCTTTCAACCCCCAGCCTGTACTGATAGAGGGGATTACCCCGACCCAGGTGTAGGACCTTGCACTTGGCCTTGTTGAACCTCATGAGGTTCACACAGGCCCACCTCTCCAGCTTGTCCAGGTCCCTCTGGATGGCATCCTGTCCTTCTGGTGTCTCAACCATACCACTCAGCTTGGTGTCATCTGCAAACTTGCTGAGGGTACACTCGATATCACTGTCCATGTCATTGATAAATATATTGAACAGCACCGGTCCCAGTACGGACCCCTGAGGGACTCCACTCGTCACTGGTCTCCATCCGGACATTGAGCCGTTGACCACTACCCTTTGGATGCGACCATCCAACCAACTCCTTATCCACCGAACGGTCCACCCATCAAATCCATGGCTCTCCAATTTAGAGAGAAGGATGTTGTGGGGGACCGTGTCAAAGGCTTTACAAAAATCCAGATAGATGATGTCCACCATCATCGCTCGAGCAGGCAAACAGCTACCTGACCTTGGTTCACATGTTATCACCAGCTCCCAGAGCCAGCAGGGACTTAAGAGTACTGTGCCAAAAACAGGACAGCCCACCATGTGTGTAAGCTGCTGTGAAGGATGCTGCACAGAACACTTGCCTGCTGTTCTCCTGTTGACTCAGGAGCTATAGACTTACTTGAGGCCAAAAAGGATCCAGGTGTGCTACGGAAAGAGTACAGCTATCACTCAGCTTTCTAATGTACATCACTGCCGTCCCTTGCTCTTCCAGCTCAGAGGCTTTACACAGCAGCATGAAAGCACCACCACTAACACCATTAAGAGGAACCACCACTAACCTCAGTACAACTGCTGGGGCAAACAAGGACAGACTGGGCCTCTTCTCATCTCCTCCTCTTTTCTTCCTTACCAATGGCCAGCATTTCTTTGCTTTTTTGTAGAACAGGTTACTTTTTAATTCACAGTTGCCAGGAGGTTGACCTGATTTGAGTGTTTCACCCATCCTGCAACTGTCATCTGTTTGATAACTCTAGCCTAAACAAACATCAGTAACTACTACTTAGTACTGCTCTTACAGGCTCCCACCAATTTTGTTTCAAGTCTAATACAAGAACCTATTACAGTTTTATACTAAAAGGCATCCTCGCTGTACACACACCTTTAGCAGGCAGTTCTTCACCCCCTATCAAACCCATTCCTGCAGATCTAGACAACGTGACCTAAGAAAACTGTGAATGTGAGAAGTCCATCTTCACTCAGGCTCTCAACATTGTAGATGCTGCTTCAGCTGATCTAGCTTTAAGAGCTGGAGCAATTTCTAGAAACTTTTTCAGCTGAATGGTCTACATTTAGTTCAAAGTGTAGCTTAAAAGAGAATATCCTCAAACAAGTCTTTTTCAGATTAACTACTAGATTTTCCCCTCATTTTCAGTGTAGTTATACTAAAGTGATCTACTTCTACTGTCAGTTCCCATTTTGGTCCAGAAACCATTCTAACCAGACTGACAGCAGCTCCTACAACTCTTTTTGGAGAGCCATGTGATACAATTTTCACGCGTAAACAGATCACAATCTAACACTCACACTTGTCAGGATGCCAGCAGTGACCTGCTTTTAACATTTATCAGTTTGGGACTCAACTCGTTCAATACTTAGTCTGTGCTGGTTTACTAATGGTAGCCATAGCAATTACAATGTCAATACTAATTTTCTATAGCTTACATTCTTTTCTTCCCCTGCAGACATAGGTAAGGTTTTAGTCACAGAAGTGAAAACCAAAAAGTTTTACTGTACTCTAAGGGTACAATAAAATTTCTTACAGCATTTCACACTATACCAGGCATTGTAGTTGAAGTGAACTTATATTACACTGATATTTTCCCCTCAAGTCAACACTTGTAGGTTAATGAAAATCTCAGATTATATATATTTAGTAATTTGGCTTTGTAGCTTAGCCTGGTTAAAGAGCTTATTCCTCCTGCCTGATATCCTTTCCCCTCAGAACTGGAGTTAACTGAGGATTTCCAAACTAGAAGTCTAAAGCAAGCTCTTTGCAAGAGTTATCACATTCAAAGTGAATTAAAACTCCCCGTCCTTAGAAAAATGCAAACAGAGAAAAGTGTAGCTGTTAAGGTTCCTACAGTCTAGTTGAGGCATCTCCCAGTGCACTGAGGCAGCAGCATTTGCAGAGGAACCTTGCTCTAGTACACTGTTCTACAGCAGAAACTACCCTAATTCCAAAAAGCCCTATGCAACACTACAGTTAGGCAATATCATTCAGGGAAATACACCCGTGTCAGCCTCCAGCCATTCTGAAATAAGACCAGGAAATGAGCACACTTCATTTGACTGCCAGGAATCCTAACGGTGACAGCTTGCACATCAACACTAGCACATTCGCTATTGATCATTTTTAGCAGAAATGTCACCCTCAACAACATATTCCTTGCCACTAGATCAAGCTGCACAGCTCAAGCGTTAAAACATTCACCTATTAGCAGAGGGAGTAAACCTGAGTTCCAGCCCACAGTAATTGCAAAGTGTCAGCGCCCATGGATTTTAAACATAAGATTATCTATGCTACAGAAAAACTGAAAAGCAAGAAAGAGCTGTCCCTGATTTTACTACAAAATAGCTTAATTATTACCTCACAAACTATTTAATTTATCCAGAGCTGCACAAAGTTTTGGGGTTTTTTGAGGTATTTTTTTTGTTGGTTTTTTTTTACCAACAATGGAGAGCCAGCTAGTAACAACCTACAGTAGCCTTTCTTCAACAGACCATGTGGTGCTACAAAATTAAGGTGCTGGTTTTTATTCACTACTTCATACTCAACTTCCAGTGATTCCAGGCCTATGAAAAATATCTCTGTACATTGCTTTTTAAAGTTTACTGCGTCTGATCTGTATCATTAAAGACCATCAGGACACTGACATTACTTTCAGGACTTCCTTCCCTGCCACAGGCAGTTCTGTTTTAGCTCAAAACGTACCTTTCTATCAAGTCAAATCTGATGTTCTCCTCCTATATATTGATACTTGTGACAATTTTTTATCATAACATTTTAATTGATGACAGTTGCAAATTATGCATCAATTTTTCAACAAAAGTAAGGAGCAGACTTTTTATGGTTTGCACTATTCAATGAAAATAAGTATCCTACAGGCAAAGAGCTGTTGGACATGTGATGCCAATATACACCCTACCGTACAAATGACGAGGTAAGCCACAAGGAATTTAAAAAATACTTCTGGAAATCATTTTATACACTATTTAACATTGTGCACTGTCAACACACCTGCAAAACTCTAAATCCTGAAATATTCGAATATAAGTTCCTTTCACCTTTAACAAGTAATTTATCTCGAACAGACACCCTCCGAGTTGAATCAGAAGCTGGATTGGACGCACGGGGTCCTCTGATGCCATCATCCCGCTTCAGCTTGTTTGCCAGAGTTAGCATTACTGCTGTCTTCTATCTAGAACACAAATAGTAGAACAAAGTCAATTACCAAAACGGGAAACAAACCCAAAACCCCAAGTTACAGTTAGTTCCTTCTTCAAAAATTATCGTCATATTCTTAGCAGTCAAAGACAGAATATGATATACATATATAGCTAACATGACAAGGATAGCATGGAGTACTTGAAGAATGTGAGTTTGTTTCAGATGTGAATACTGAGAGAGTTACAGTACATTAGGCCAAGAGAAAGTTCAATTTTGCTGTAGAAAGGTCAGTCTTTCATCATTGTTTACAATCCAGTTTCACTGCACCATCTACCACAGTATACCATTGCCTGACATCACTCCTTCAAAAGAACTGTGGTCAAAATACCCCTGCCAGATCCCTGGCCAGATGATGTGCTACAACCATTCTCATCCATGTTTCACGTGTCAATATTCGGAGCTACTTTCTGGCTGGTAAAAAAAAAAAAAAAAAAAAAGAGAGAGAGAGAGAAAGAAAGGGGAGGGGAGGGGTTACTGGAACAATCCTCTAACACTAGGAAATGAGCTTTGAGTCAGCTACCACGACACAGGAAAGGCAACAGATTTAAACTGCAAATAGTGCAATTATCTATGCAGCTGCACAACAGTAACTCTTCACAGTGCACTCTTCCCACCACAGAGCAATGGTGGAGAAAGTTACATACGGAGACGTGGTAACTGAAATGAAGATATTCTTTCCTGTGTCAGTCCTCCACTACAGAAGATAACTGCACTCATAAATAAATTCCAAGACAAGGTGGACAGAATGCCAAAGTCATAAAACCAAAACATCCAGTCTGTCATGGCTTAATACTTTTTGATGCTACTCCCAGTTGAAGGCAACTCATTCTTCTTAACAGTTTTGCCAAAACCAACATAATACTGACAAGATCCACACCCTTTATGCCCCCTCACCACTAAATTGTAAGAGAAATGTTTATCCTTCAGTCAGGCAAATTAATACAATGAAATAACGGCCTTACCCTTGTGAAAAGTCAGCATATAGTCTTTACTTGAACTAGCTTGCATAGCAGACCAGACAGGTAAGATGCAGCAGTTACCAAGACGTGAAACAGATGCTCAAGTAACATCAGCTCTCATTGTATAAAATGGAGAATCAGCAGAGATATTAATAAGGCAAATGATAAAGTCCGGCAAACCAATGAGATGCAGAGGATCACACTGTATAATGACAAGACTCTATACAAGATTATCTCTGTCAGCTTCAGCTCTACGTGTCTCCATGTTTCTTTCTGTCTTGTAAGCAAGCCCTGAAGTGAAGTTTAATAAGGCCATTGCAACAGCAGTTACTTCACTTGTTCATTTTGTTTGTTCTTGCCCCAAAGAAAACAGGAGATAAAGCCTCTGGCCTGCCAATCTAGTTACTACAACTGTAAAGACAGCCCTATCGCTTTCCCAAGGTTGTGAGAAACTGACTGATACCAAACATCAAGCCAGCATGAAAATACCAGTGAAGGGGCAAGAAGGAAAAATGAAACAACTGACATGACATACAGATGTTGAGAAGAGCATAACAGGTAAGTAAGTAACAAGGTTTAAAAAAAAAAAAAAAAAAAGCAAGGATGTATTTCACAATAGTACCTAACAGCATGAAACTCTGGTAAGACGTACAAGAAGGTCGAGTTGCCTGAAGTTGACAAGTATGTGCACTAGCTTCAAGATCCAGATTTTAAAAAAACGGAAAATTCAGGGCAAATGTAAATACCGCTTGCTCAAGTGAAACATTCAGTAGGCTTTTTTGCTCCCACTACCCCAAGAGAAATAAAGAACAAGCATACTAAACAGCCCTTTTTAACTTGGAGAAGAAAAACACAACAGCTAGTTTAAAAAAAAAAAGGTAGGGAGCAGAAAAAAAAAACACAAAAACATTGTAAACTGCAGGCAACCCCTTCTCCCAAAAAAAACCTTTTAGATGGCAAGTCGAAATGAAATCAGCTTCAACGGGAAGTAAACGCCTAAACACCTTTATAGGTCTGCTTCCTCACTGCTTGTCCTAGAACACCAGGAAGCCAAAGAGAAGTGTGCCCAGTGGGGAAAAAGGCGCTTCGCTCCAGCTACACCCCGGACTTCACCAACGGGGCACCGCGAGGAAGCCCCCAAAACTTGTTAACCGCTGGGGGAAAGCAAGGCTCTACCCCGGCCCGGCTCCGGGGAGACAGGGAGGGAGGGAGAGGTGCCGTGCTTATTTATAGGGAAGAGCAGGAGAGCCCCGGCGTTTCTC